GGGCTGTGGGCGCCCCGGGAGCCCGAGCCCCGGCACCGGGAACACCCGTGTTTGCAGCGAAATTCCCACGAGGGTGTTTGCCGTTTTGCTCGTGAATTATTTGGCCGCGACTTGCTACTCAGCAGCGTGGGCGGCTTTGGAAAACGTGTTGTGCGCGCAGGGTTCTTGCGAAGCGAGCAAAACCTACCCCGCAAACAGCTTGCGAATGTGACGAAACGATTGTGAAAATGACACCCAACAATGAATGACGTGGAGGTAACGATGTTCTCTGTAGAAACGGGATGAAGCATTTGTTCTGGTTTTGCTGTTTCTTGATCTTGGAGCCAGTACCGAGTTTGGGTTTGGGCCCTGCTCGGGGCTGCGGGACTCTGATGCGGGGGGGGCGGGGGGGGGCGAGCTGAGAGCTGGTCCGGTGTTCGCTGCGCCCCCGGCCGGGCCATGGCATTTCCCCTTCCAACTCGGGGCGCAGAAGCCACTGGGGGCGCAGGGCAGGACGGAACCTATTTGAAAATACGTGCAAACTTGCTTTTCCTTTGAGGGGCCGGCAGCCGGGGGAGCCGCAGCCTCGCCAGGTGCGGGGAGAGGTGTCTTCGGCTCCGGGGTGATTGTCATGTGAATGGCAGGTGGGCACTGCCCAGCCAGCTGACGGATGTGGCTTCCGGTGCGTTTGCAGGTCCTGCGCCTGGTGCCCGTCGGCGCCGCGCTGGCCGGCCCTCCCCTGCCAGAGCCGCGGAGTCCCGGACAGTCCCAGACACCACGTGTTTCCACAGGTGGAAGGAGGCGGATTTGAACTTCAGCCGGAAGGCGGTGGCCTGGCTGGGACCTGCAGTGCAGCAGCCTCTGCTCCCGGAAGCGTGGCGCCTCCGTGACCTTTGCCTGTGAAGCCCCACCCCAGGCTGGACCGTGCGGGTGCAGCGGGCCCCACGCTGCCTCGCCTGCTGGTGATGAAGGGAACAGGGACATTGTAAACCGTCCCACCCCGTCCGCGTGCCTCACGGCCGTATGGGTGACGTCAGCCCACAGGCCTCGCTGAGATTCCAGGGGACGGTGGGGACCTGTGGCCCTTAGGATCTTGGAGCCACAAGGCTCAGCTCCATCCCTGCCTCTGCCAGGCAGTTAGCCACTCCGAGGGTGGCAGTGCCAGGCCTGTGTGAGCTGCGAGGTGCTGCGGGCGCCCTGGCCCAGGGCAGGTCCTTGGCGTTCTGCGTCCCGTGTCTGGGCTGCGGGACAGGACTCTTCCTGGGACTCCTGGTCCCAGAGGCCTTAAAGGCTGGACATGAGGGATCAGCTTCCTGCGCGGGCTCGGCCCAGGACGGCCGCCTCACACAGACCCGTAAGAAGAGACCCTCGGATCCTGGGAAGCGGGGAGGGTCTCTGGGAACGGAGCCGGAGCCGCCGCCAGTGCTCAGCGGGTCCTGAGGCCTCGTACCCGCTCCTCCGGGCGGCTGGACGCCTTCCTGCTGAGATGCCCCAGGTGTTCTGTGATCTCATCTGAGACTCAGCCATGCCCAGAGGAACGTGTCTGCAGGCACCGTCATGGACCAGCCCGGGGCGCTGCGCCAAGGCCAGCGCTCCTCATTCCTGCCCGACACCCCTGCCCTGCGGCTCCCCACTGCCAGTCACCGGCGGCCCCTTCTCCCACGGCTCCGGCAGAGCCTCAGCCACAGCTCAGCGTGTCCACCTGGAGCTTCACACCTGTCCCCTGAGGCACCGGCCAGCTGTGCCCTGGACCACTGCCCGGGTGCTCTGGAGGCTGGGATTCCCGGCTCCACATTGGACCGGAACTGCTTCCGGCCCTGAGCCCTTGGGGGTGCTGCTGAGTGTCCTAACTGGTGGGAGGGGCGCTTAGAATTCCCGCCGGCCCGTCAGGCCTGAGCCCTGGGAGGGGGCTGTGGGCTGTCGCGGCCCTGAGGTGTGCCCAATGGGACCCCTCTCCCAGAGGCCCAGCCCCGTCTCTCCCATCTTCCCAAACGTCTGCCCCAGGGGAGGGCCCTCCTGGGACAGGGCCTGGATGGATGTGCCTGAGTGAAATGGTGAACGCGTGAACAGTGAACGTGCACTCACGGGAAATCACACCTTCCTTCCTATCGGAGACCTTGTCTCCAGAAACCCAGTCGGACCTTGTGAAGAGCAGTCCTCAGGGCATAGCAGGTCTGCCTCCTGCCAGGCCGTTCCTCGTTCCTCGGGGCTGGCGGCTCCCGGCCCTTGTCCTGCAGGCCTGGGGGTAGGAGGAGGGTTGAACCGGCCTCCTTAGCAGACCGCCTGGCCTCGTGGTGCGGACCGCGTGGACCACGCTGCAGCTCTCCAGGGGCTGAGAAGCTGGCCCAGGCCTGGGTGCAGCTTTGGGACCTTGAACAGGTTTTGGGGGGGGGGGTCCTCTCCCGCCTGGCTTTGTGCCAGGGCTGTGATCCCAGTGCCTGTTGACATTGTCAAACCTGCTTCATTCTCGGGGGTTGTCACGGCTCTCCCTGCAGCTGCTGGTTGTCGGGCAGTAACGAAGCCCAGGTGCTCCTGGAATTCAGCCTGGCTACTAAAGGGGTGCAGTGGCCGCCCGTCTCCGAACAGCCGGGTGTCCAGCTCATGGGGTGTTGCTTGCAGCCTACGGAGGGCAGAGCCGTGCTGTGGCGCCTGGGAGGCTCTGGCCGGGCGTGTGGCCTTTGTCCTGTTGCGTCTCTGATAAGGGCCAGTGTGCCCGCACCACAGAGCTGAGGCCAGTCGATTCCAAACTCCTCCAGCCAGGATGTGGGGGGGCAGGGCCCACTGTGGGCCAGGGCCGCGGCCAGAGCACTGGCCTGTCCTGCACGGACGGGGTTCCAGCTGCCACCTGTGCCGAGACCTGGACAAGACCTTCCTCCTCAGTCCTGTCACTGGGCTGAGGAAGGAGGTCAGATTCTGGGGTCTGAACCCTCCAGGCCCAGAGGGAAGCGGGCGGGCGGGGGGAGGGGAGTCCCAGGAAGGGCCTGCCCTTTCCCAGGGCTTCATGCAGTGTCAAAGCCAGGGCTTGGGGGTCTGGGTTCTGGTTGGGGTTCTGTTCTTTGCCCCGTCTCACAAATTCAGGGAGCTTGAACCTGGATAAGAAAAAAATAAGTGTTTTCTCCATCTCTGGCCCCAGCGGAGCCTTCCCTCACTGTGGGTGCTGGGGGCGCCTGTGCGGGGGGGGACGTCAGGGCTGCCTGCACGCAGCTCCCCCGGGGGCTGGTTACCGGTGGCACTAAGCCTGGTGGTCTTCCTCATACTCTGGGACCTTTCCGCTTGTGCCTGTGAGTCCCGTGGACTGTCTCGTGCACTGAGGGGGGTCCGCAGGCCCCACCACACTCGCAGGAGCGCCATCGAGACGCGAGCCTCCTCCCCGGGAGGCCTCCCTGCACAGCGTGGACCTGGATCGGGCAGCCGCTCTCCCTGTCCTCCAGGAGCTCACCTGCGTCCGGCCTGAGCTCCTC